ACAGATTACAAAAATCGTATTTACCCAAAACCGGACAGCTCCGAGGAATCTGGTCAACCAGAGAAGTCCTGGGCCTTTCTGACAAAACAGTACAGATACTTGCTGGCACATTCTGTATAGATTTCCTGAAAAACTCCTGTCTCAAGCTTTATTTGATCACATTACGATGAGAGTGGCAATTGGATTGAGTTACCGAGAGAAATGAGAAGAACACGTGTTGGCACACAGCCAGCGGCATGTGAGGGGAAGGTGCGCGTGTGCGAGTGCTGGTGAGGACTCCGCTGCCCGTGCTCCCATCCTAGTGGCCTCACGTGGGCTTCTCCTTGCTCCCCTCGCCCCCCTCCGCCCCCCCCCGCCCCGTTCCCCCGTCCGTCCTGGGTGGGTTAGCCCTTCTGTTTGCTGGTTGTGACTATTTCGTCACTTCATCTCACCGTCTCAGCAGGAATTCTGTGAATGTCCACTTGGTGCCAGCCACTGGCTGCTCTCCTCGTCTCACTCTCACCGAAACGTTGAGTTTGTCCCCATTTTGTGAATGAGGACACGGAGGCCCGAGAGGCTCAGTGAGTCAAGGGTGTGCAGGTCCTCGAGCTGTCAGGCCGCCCCACTGCTCCGACTCCCTTAGCCTTTAAGCCAGTGGTTCTCAACCTCCTGGCCCTTTAAATACAGTTTCTCATGTTGTGACCCAACCATAAAATTACTTTCGTTGCTACTTCATAACTGTCATGTTGCTACTGTGATGAATCATCATGTAAATATCTGATCTGCAGGATGGTCTTAGGCGACCCCTGTGAAAGGGTCGTTCGACCTCCAACAGGCTGAGAACCGCTGCTTTAAGCGTATCTCACCGCAGAGAGGATGTAAACCTTAGTTAGCCAAGCGAACGTGGCCTCCGTGAGCAATACACACCCGGTAGGGTACCACCTGGAATTCCGTTCCTGTTTCATTTACGGCAGCAACAGTGCACGCTGCTGAAATCGGGAGAGCTGGGACCCGCGCCCTCGCTCGGCCACTAACCAGCTTCGCGACCTTGAGGAGTCGCTCACCTCCGGGCTCTGGTTTCTGCGTCTGGAGATAGTGGGGTTTTAACGCGGCGTCTCCGCTGTTCACAGGGCCTGGGGGTCTCTAAGGAGAAAGTGGACGGGTGCGGTCTGTCTGGCTCCACAGCCAGGTTGGTTTCTGCCTAAGTTGGGGTTGTTTATTATTGTAGTGTTCTATTTATAGTAACACACGGGGGC